TAACACTGTGCAGACAATCATGCATTGTAGGACCCAATCCATTGCGATAATGTGAGACGTCAGATCATAAGAGAGCCCAATGAACAGGCTTCAGCCTTCACTCCCCCTGATCCTAACCTATAGTACAGGCGTATCTATTTATGACAGAGAATGCAACTAATATTACATTTATTGAAAAATCTTGGAGCTGAATACTGTACTTTAAAATAGATTACCATAACCAATAAAGAAAATTTGCTTGAGAACAATTATTTGCTGTTTATCAAACCATAAAATTCCTTCTGAATCAAGAAGGTAAATTTCAGCAAAATACCTAAAGGTTAAGACATTTTCATAATAAAAAACACCACATGGATTCTACAATATGGCACTTTTTAATATTTTACATGTGAAAATAAGTTTGTGAACAAAGTAATTATTTTCCATACGTCATTTGAAATAAATATTAATATATAACTGAAAAAATGTAAAAAATAAATACATTTCAAAAAAGAATTTTATGTGTCTTCAATGCTAATGATGCAGCATTCACTGGAACCCATTCATTCATTCAGCACATTGGTTAGTTCGGATGAGTATTGTTGGCACATCCACGAGGTCTCGCTCGCAATGTGCACGGCAAGACCAAGCATCAGGATTCAAAATCAACAGCAAAACAGAAAAGCATGTTAAACAGTAGCACAGACCCATAGAAACATTTTGATGTTTGACAGAGACACAGGTAAAAACCTGATAAAAAATAAAACCAATCACAAATGACACGTTGTTAACCATCTCAAGCTTATCATTTGCAAACAATTCGTGATCGGGAGGGGAAATAGCCTTTAGATGGACAAACGACCTTATTAACAATGCAGTTGTGCTTCTCTCTACTTTTACACAAGTTGAATGGAAAAAAAATGGAAGAAGAGGCTTTCGTATTAAGTTTGTGATGTATGCAAAAAGGATAGGAAGCATTAATGAGAACCCTTTTGGTTGGCCTGAGCAGTCAGATGTTGCCGATTTCTCAAAGGCACCGATTCAAAAAATAGGCCAGGATATGAAATGGAAGGTTGTGGCAAGTTTAAATTAGCTCTACAATCTTTGTTTCCACACCTTACCGGTTTTCAGTAATCAGATTAATATTTCCCACCTCTTTTGTGAATAAGCGTAATTAGAATGCACAGATTTCATAAAAAGGTATTTTGCGAACCTTTTTATTAAGGAAGGGAGACAAAAATTTATTAAATTTCACAGCATTCAGTTAGCAGTGTTCACAAGGCAACACTGTATTCTGAGACTATAATGGGATTTCCCACTATAAGCAAAGAACACAAAATTCACAAGTATGTTATTTAATTCAATGCCACGTGCAACTGGGCAATAATGCATTTTGATATGATTCACATTCTGATCCACTATGAGGTGAAGGTCACGTCATCATTTCATTAAAGCTGAGCCAGTTGTGTGTTCTGCACTTGGCTAAAATGTATGGTTTGCTTATGTCAAACTAATCTGTCCAGTTATGTGGGCATCACTGGTTTTACAAGCTTAAGCATGGAACACAAATAAGCAACAAGCTGTTCATACGTGGGTAGGGACCATCTGTGCACAATTCACTTATAAAAATATAAATAATCTTTGCATGTGATATGGCACCTATAACATCAAAATTCCTCAAAGTCCTTCACAGATAATTGCTGTAAAATGTATATTTATAGAGGAATACAGCAGACAATTTGCACATAGCAATGTCTTATAAATAGCCCTGACATGAATGTTCAATTTATGTGGAGGACTATTGGCCAGTGTACTGGGAAATATACCTTCTATTTTCAAATGGTGCCTTCGGATACTTAAACCACCTTAGCAAGTAGATGAGACCTTAATTTAGGGCTCCAACTGAAGGAGGCACCTTAACAATGAGGCTTCTTACAGTACTACACTGGAACGTTAACCTAGATTGGGAGAGAAAAGTTTCGATATGGGGCATGAGCTTAAAATCTTCTAAAATGAGAGTAGCACCAACTGAGACAAGTTGAGATGAAATGCAAAACGAGTGACAAACATTTGCAGACTGATAGGTTAATAATCCAAGTGGTAGAAGTAATAAAGAGAGAGAGACGATAAACAAGAATGAAAAAAATTGTAGAGAAAACAAAAGACAACGATTGAGAGTGAGATGGAGCGAAAAGGAACAAGAGAGGCAGAGAGAAAAACAAGAAAGAGAATGATGAAGATGGAAATGGGGGAAAAGAACGAAAGAGGAAGAATAAGAGAGTGGGTTAAACAAATTGAGAAAATAAAGGGAGAGACAATATTGCAGTGCTGGGAATGAGTACATGACATGTCCTTACAAATTGCTAAATGTACGTCTTTACAGACCAAATGTTGTGAACAATATTCACATAAGGTCTTCCTTCTTAATCAGTTACCTTCACTTCATTTGTTATGTTTTCAGCATACTTTATTCATTTGTTTCAATGATAAATGCTGATATTTTAGGAGCTACCAACTAAATTCTGCTTCTGCTGAACTAACTTGATAACTGTGTTCAATGACAATTCCTACTACTTTGTTGCAATCATTTCACAATCTTTTCTATTGCTCTCAATACCACATTGCCCTTCATATAGTAAGGAGAAACAGTTGAGATTTTGTTTTCTGAAAGCATATCAATGCTCTCCTATGCTTGCCAATGAGAGATGGATTTTTGTAGTAAACGGAGTTCATGAGCATTTGTGTAGTGTTGCCAACTGCTGGTATTTTCTCTCCACTAAGATGGACCACTAACTTATAATAAAGTGTTCTGAAGCTCTGACCAAAAAGTGGTAAAAGTCACAATGTGGGGAATAGACTTCATACATCAGATAAAGCTGTCTGACCCTGTGAATCATAGTCCAGCCTAACTTGCTTTGGCATCACTAAGTACAGACAACGGATGGCAATTGTCAGCTTTTCAAGGGCAAGAGAGGGCTAAGATAATTAATGAAGGTTCCAAAGCCCAACTCATGACTAAAGATTCAGCCATTTGCACAGCTGAATTTCATCCTTACATGCATTAATATGTGAGTGTATCTCTCTATCTTCTCAAAGCAAACAACTAACAATTAGATGCTTGTGGAGGGTAATCAAATAGAACTGTCTACAAAGTGTATCCTGTGCTGGATGATTGCCAGTCCTGAATGGGAAGGTTGGAAAAGGGCTGAATTACAAAGCAACAGAAAGATGACCCGATGAGAGGAGACAGGGGAATGGGTCAGATGCAGATATTTCAGAAAGAAACAGGAAATGGTGGAAAATACAGTTTAAAACTTCACTGAAAATACTGGATTTTCGTTCCAAATTTCATTTTTTTCCAGAACTGAAGTCTGACAAAACACCCCAAATTTTAGGGTTTATTTGTAAAAATAGATTTTATTTTAAACTATTTAATGGAGCAATGTCACAGTTCTCAACCGAGCTCAATGTTGAGATGTTATTGTGAAAATAGTAAAGCTTTCTTTCCCGTCACCATTGTAAGCAAGTTTACCGATATGACTAACCAAATGAGCAACAGTGACATTGGATAACTGCTTACCTGAGTTCTCTGTAGATAAATCTGAGATATTTATTGGATTACTGTGCCAAAAAGAATGAAACAGAAGCATGGAATGGAATCACTGAGTGCTTCAGGGGCTCAGTATTGAATTCAAAAATAATGCACAAAAGACAGTTATGATAGTCCAGAAGAACAGCAACAAATGAAGCCTTAAATGCTGCATTACCCAAAATGAGCGGAGGTATTTCCATTTTTGTTACGTTAAAACTGAGCACCTTTTTTTTAAGAAAAAGAGGTAAAATCTGTTAATGGCTGCCATCAGTATTCATAATTAAGTGTGCATTCATTTTGTCATGTTAAAAAAAATCATCCAAATAATGCTGATTCAATTCACTTTAGTTGTTTTACATCTCTTTGCACTCAAATGAAGAGTTTGTACATTTGTGTAGAACTTTGATAACTTAGTTTTTATGCCACTCTGCATATGATCCTGATGTGGCAACCAGCAACTTTGAGCAGTCATCAAGAAATGGGTACCCAAATTTAAAACTGGCTCTGAGCTGGGAACTCCCAGCCAGGACTGTCCACGTAATAAGATAAACTCTTGATTCAATGTGATGTTATATATCTATATATATATACATATCTCTCTCTATATATATATTTATATATAAAGATAATATGCCTATGTTATTTTAATATTAGGCCAATAGTAAACAATCTCTTCATAAACACATTGCATTGGGTTACTTCAGTAATTCCCTCATCATTTCCATTGTTTGACAACTTTTCATGTTCGCTTATTAAACAAACAGACAAAGTTTGCCAGTGTGTGGTAAAAACACCAATTAGAAAAATGTCTAATATCATTGTTTTTATAAAATGTGCATACCTTAAAAAAAGAGATGCATCAACATATTCAAGAATTAAACCTACAAAATGTACAAAATTACACTTCTATTATACAAATTCTGGTGTTGCTTCCTGTTTTGCTGCATCAAAATTAAAAAAGTACTATCCACAAATATACATATTGTGCACTGTTACTACAGGATCTCCATTACAAAGTAAAATCAGTGGAAACAAATTAAGCACCACCATTGTTATTTTTTTGCAGTATAAAAAAGGATACCTTCTAAAACTAAAGCTTGGTCAGCCATACAATGCTATGATTAGAATTGTGTGGTAATTCAAGTAAAGTTCCTTAAAAAACATTTGTAAATAGGATTTTAATAATGCCTTGAATATAGTCTAAAGCACCAACTGACTTCCTGACTATATGTTGGACATACATGAATGGTGTGTCTGGCAAAATTTGGATTGGAATCTCTTCCTTCCCCTATCCCGTCACAATAAAAATTAAAGAGTGTGATTTATGTTACATTCAATAACGATTAAAAATTATACCTCTCCGTAATCGAGCACCACTGTGTTATAATGCTGAGCACACCAGTGAGAAAGAGAAAGAATACTATCGTACCGAATTCCATAGGCCTCGATGCCAAGAAACACCAGCAGGACATGGATGCACGCTGCACTGTTCTATATCCGGGGGCTTCTCCAAGATTTCACAGTTCTGATCGCTTAGTCTTTGCCCATTTGTCAGTTGGCATATGACATATCTTGTTCTTGTTCCACCACCGCACGACTGCGTACACTGGAGATAAAATAGAAATTGCAATTAGAAGTAAAATTACACATTTAAATAGTGCTTCTTGCAAAAGATTTGTTCTCCTGGACTGGATTATCTCATTGGGAGAAGGACACTTTTGCAGGGCTATGGGAAGAGAGCAGGGGAATGGGACTGATTTGGATAGCTCTTTTCAAAGAGCCTGCACAGATACGATGGCCAGAATGGCCTCATTCTGCGCTGATTCTATGTGCTGTCTAAATTAAAATGTCAGATTAGACAAATTGTGCTCTACTTTCCTAAATAAATCAATGTCTAAGCATCATATCAAATCTAACCTCAATTTTACTCAGTCCTCCACCCAGTCCATTTTTATATCTGCATTGAAATTATTAGGAAGATAGGAAGTGCCATTCACATAGGATAGCATCTTGGGTATGGCATCGGATGCCAAGCAAGGGAGAAGGGGTAAATGGGAAATTTGCCATAGATGTAGTTAAAGAGGTAGATTTGAAGGTGGGATTTAAAGTCAGATAGAGAAGGGGACAAAATCGAGGGGTAGAGGGAGAGAGATCCAGAGATTAGGAGTGTAGAATCTGAAAGGTGAGCTACTGATGCTGGTGTAAAGATGGCAAAGGACGTGCAGCAAGTCCTAGTTTGCCAAGCGGAAGGAGCAAGGAGGGGAGAGGGGAAGGAGAAGATCAAAGAGAAAATTTGCTCTCTCCCAGAAGTTTGATTTCTAGTTCCTCACTCTCACTTATAACACGAAGGTTACAGGTGAGACTGAGGACCTAGAAATCAAACCCCTGGGAAAGAGAAGCTTGGCAGTAAACCTTGGTGATGGGTTCAGGGGTCTGGTGTGGGTGAAGATGCAGCAGTAGAACTTTGGATAAGTTAAATCTTATGGATAGCAATGCTAAGGAGACCTGCCAGGAGTGCATTCAATTCTAAGCGGGAGATGACTAAGGTGGTTCGGCAGCATTTAGTGTAAAGTAGAGGTGAAGGTGGGTGATGTAGCAGAGATGAAGGGAGGGGGTGCCCAGGTCCCAGAAATAGTACAGACGTAAACAATGAGGATGATCTCAATGTTTTTAAGAATAAGCTAGAAGGGATGCTTAAACAAGTTAGGGCTCATAAACCTTGAAAGGAGGTGTCTCAGAAGGGAGCTTACTGAGGTATATAAGATTACAAATGGATTGAGAGATAAACCCAGAACAATACATTCACTCACATGTAGACATCATAACATGAGTTTAGAGTTGTAAAGGGAAGGTTCAGAAATTATTTCATTATTATTATTGAGGATAGGTTACTGGATTCATTAAAAAAAACACTTGATACTCTAACAGGAGGAATAAGGGTGGCTATTCTGGAAGGAGGAGTTCAGATGGGCTAAAGGACCTACTTCATCCAAAACTCGTCAAGTACCTTGTGATCTAGGGAAGGAAAAATGAGTCAGGATTCCCATGACTAATCACTATCCAATGACCCCTGATGGAAAGTGCATGCAACGAATAGGATGGGATTTAACTCTGATGCCCCATTGCTAGGTTGCCTACCAACACTCATTATCAACATCGACCATGAATTACAATGGTTACTTGGCAATAGACCAGAGGTTGCCTGGAGGTCATGGAACTGTATCCCAGGAGAAAGCCAAAATGAAAGGCTTCAAACATCTTCAGTGGAAGAAAATTGGAAAGGATGAAAATTGAAGAAAAGTTGGTCAGAAAATCGACAATTAAAATGTTCCATTTTGAACAATTCCAAGCAGAACTTTAAATCATTTTGAAGTATATGGACATATAAAATTGAAATACGAAAAAATGCAGCTTAATCCACAGAATACATACTTCACCCCAGTTCCCATAGTTCCAGTGAGGACAGGGTCCAGCATCACAGTGCCTGGTCTCTGGCGGCTTCGTCCTCTCATCACAGTTATTGGCAGAACGTCCTTCTGCATCCTGGCACACCACCACTCGACGTTGGAATCCACCTGTGCAAGTGCTTGAGCACTAACATATTTCACTCATAAGCAAACAACCCCAGAAAACAGTCTCATTTAAAAACATCTTCTGCATAAAACCACAATATGTATAGGTTTTGGTGAATTGGTGAGACAATTTAACAGTTTGTGCAAAAGTTTGGTGCGAATTTTAGCATTTTAAATATGCAAAACTTTTTGAGACATTATTATTGATCACTTGCAAAGAAAGGATTTTACAAGTAGAATCAGTGTGTGTTACAGGAAGGCCATTTCACCTACCAAGTCTGCATTGGTGTTTTTCTCCATATGAGACATATAATCTAACCCCATTCCTATGCTCACTCATTATATCCTTTATTCTTCTTCTTGTTGAAAGATCTAATTCTCCTTTAAAATCCTGTAGCGTATTGGTTAGAACGCTCGCCTTGCAAACAAAAGGACCTGAGTTTGATTCCTGGGCAGGTCAAAACGTTAGGCAAATTTCCTTACTCCACATGCCTGTTTACCAAGCAGTAAGTAGGAACCCAGTTGTTAATCAAATGGCGGGTTGTTTTCTGAGGGTAATGATAGCCTTCCAAAAAAAAATAGCAATTTGGTCAATCAGTTCATGTCTGTTTGTGGGACACTGCTATGGACAATTGGCTGCCATGTTGTATCCACAAAATATACAGCCAATTCACTTTGGAGTATATTCTGTGGAGCATTTTGAGGCGTCTTTCCTTTCTCTCCAAGGTCTTTCCTTTCTCTCCAAGGTCTTGGAAAGAGTTGTCGCCTCCCAACTGCGCTCTTTCCTTTCCACCCAGTCTCTTTTTGAACCCCTTCAGTCAGGTTTCCGTGCTGCCCATAGCACAGAAACTGCCCTGGTCAAGGTCACCAATGACATCTTGACCATCTGTGACCAGGGCTCCCTCTGTCTCCTCGTCCTCCTCGACCTATCGGCAGCATTCGATACGGTCGACCACGCTATCCTACTCCACCGCTTGTCCTCCCACCTCAACCTTCAAGGCACTGTCCTTGAATGGTTTAGGTCGTACCTTTCCCACCGTCTTCACTTTGTCTCAACGAATGGCTTCTCCTCCACCCCCCGTACTGTCTCATGTGGTGTCCCTCAGGGCTCTGTCCTCGGTCCCCTCCTCTTCACCCTCTATATGCTCCCCCTCGGTGACATCATCCGCAGACATGGGGTTAACTTCCACATGTATGCGGATGACACCCAACTCTACCTTTCCTCCTCTACTCTCAACTCCACGACCACCGATGTCCTGACAGCCTGCCTGTCCGACATCGAGTCCTGGACGAGAGACAACTTTCTTCAGCTCAACGTGCGAAAAACCGAGGCCCTCCTGATTGGCTCACGTCAGCGCCTCCGCACCTCAGGCGCTGACACCATCAGCATCCAAGGCTGCACTCTCCACCTCTCAAAGCCAGTCAGGAACCTCGGCGTTTTGTTCGACCCTGAGCTGTCCTTTCTCCCTCACATCCGCACTACAACTGGCACCGCCTTCCATCACCTTCGGAACATCGCCAGACTACGGCACTACCTCACCCCTCACGCTGCTGAAACCCTGGTCCACGCCTTTGTCACCTCAAGGCTGGACTATGGGAACTCTCTCCTCGCCGGCCTTCCCGCCACCTCCCTCCACAAGCTGCAGGTCATTCAGAACTCTGCAGCTCGTGTACTGTCCCGCACCAGGCTTCGCGACCACATCACTCCCACCCTCGCTCGCCTCCACTGGCTCCCCATCCCCCAGAGGATTGATTTCAAGATCCTCATCCTCACCTACAAGGCCATTCACGGCCTTGCTCCCTCCTACCTCTCCAACCTACTATCCCCCTACCTACCTGCCCGTACCCTCCGTTCCTCTGGCTCTGGTCTGCTCCACATCCCCCGCCCCAACCGCCCTACCATCGGTGGTCGGGCCTTCAGCCTCTCAGCCCCCAGGCTCTGGAACTCCATCCCCCAGTGCCTTCGCCTTGCTTCCTCCCTTTCCTCCTTCAAGGCCGGTCTCAAAACCTTTCTCTTTGACCGTGCCTTCAGCTCCCCTCTCGACTCTCTTCCCCCTCCTCGCTCCCTCCCTTCCCTCCCCTCACCCTGACCATTTCCCCCCTCCTTGCTCCCTCCCTTCCCTCACCCTGACCATTTCCCCCCTCCTCGCTCCCTCCCATCCCTCCCCTCACCCTGACCATTTCCCCCCTGCTCGGGTCATGACCCAACTGTGCAGCGCCTTGGGACGTCCTCCTGACGTGAAAGGCGCTTTATAAATGGAATCTTGTTGTTGTTGTTGTTGTCTTGAAGACATGATAAGGCACTATATCAAATGCAAGGATTATTATTCTTTATAGGTTCTACAACAACATTTCTTAAAAAAATAAACACAGTGAAACAAATCTCTTTCAGCTATGAGTATAACTTACTGCCCCCCAAGGTCCTGTTCTCCATTGACTTCCCCCTGATGGATTGTTCCATGTGTTCTGGCTGGCAATATCGTGGGAGGGATAGACCTGCCGTGGATGTGGGTAGTCATGCTGTGGGAAGTGGGCTGGATAGTCATGATAGTCCCGGGGACATGGAGGGAGGCTGCAATCCTGCTCTTGTGCGGGTCTCTCATCAGGATCACAATCACTCCCATCTGTGATCTGGTGGTGGTAACTTGCACAAACCACTTGGCGGGTCACTCGTCCAGGACCACAGCTTACAGAACACTGTAAAGAAGAGAAGTGGGTAAACACTGAAGGAAGAGAAAGAACATGACTGTTACGCAATAATCCAAATTTACTACAAATTCATTTCATTGTCATTTATGTTTTTTTTGTGAAAGATGCTAAACAAATGCAAGTTGTCATCATTATTATATGAAGAGATTACATCAGTGTTGCTTGGTGCTTAATGCTGAACTGGGAAAATGGTAGGAGAGTACCTCTCCCACTGTCTTCATTTTGTTTCCACAAACAGCTTTTCCTCCAGCCCCCGCACTGTCTCGTGCGGTGTCCCTCAGGGCTCTGTCCTCAGTCCCCTCCTCTTCACCCTCTATATGCTCCCCCTTGGAGACATCATCCGCAGACATGGGGTTAACTTCCACATGTATGCGGATGACACCCAACTCTACCTTTCCTCCTCTACCCTCAACTCCACGACCATCGATGTCCTGACAGCCCGCCTGTCTGACATCGAGTCCTGGAAGAGAGACAACTTTCTTCAGCTCAATGTGTGCAAAACTGAGGCCCTCCTGATTGGCTCACGTCAGCGCCTCCGCACCTCAGGCACTGAGAGCGTTAGCATCCAAGGCTGCACTCTCCACCTCTCAAAGCCAGTCAGGAACCTCGGCGTTCTGTTCGACCCTGAGCTGTCCTTTCTTCCTCATATCCACGCTCCAACTGGCACCGCCTTCCATCACCTCCGGAATATCGCCAGACTACGGCACTACCTCACCCCTCACGCTGCTGAAACATTGGTCCACGCCTTTATCACCTCAAGGCTGGACTATGGGAACGCTCTCCTCGCCGGCCTTCCCGGCACCTCCCTCCACAAGCTGCAGGTCATTCAGAACTCTGCAGCTCGTGTACTGTCCCGCACTAGGCTTCGCGACCACATCACTCCCACCCTCGCTCGCCTCCACTGGCTCCCCATCCCCCAGAGGATCGAATTCAAGATCCTCATCCTCACCTACAAGGCCATTCTCGGCCTTGCTCCCTCCTACCTCTCCGACCTACTATCCCCCTACTTCCTGCCCATACCCTCCGTTCCTCTGGCTCCGGTCTGCTCCACATCCCCCGCCCCAACCGCCCTACCATTGGTGGCCGGGCCTGCAGCCTCTCAGCCTCTAGGCTCTGGAACTCCATCCCCCAGTGCCTTCGCCTTGCTTCCTCCCTTTCCGCCTTCAAGGCCGGTCTCAAGACCTTTCTCTTCGACCGTGCCTTTAGCTCCCCTCTGGACTCTCTTCCCCCTCCTCGCTCCCTCCCTTCCCTCCCCTCACCCTGACCATTTCCCCCCTGCTCAGGTCATGACCCAACTGTGCAGCGCCTTGGGACGTCCTCCTGACGTGAAAGGCGCTTTATAAATGGAATCTTGTTGTTGTTGTTGTTGTTGAAAGGCGATCTATAAATGAAATGTTGTTGTTGTAGTTATTCTGGAAAGAGGAACTCCCATGGATGACAGATCCATTTTTAATGGTTTCTTGTGATCTTGTGATATAGAAAATAAAATAAATGAAATATAGACTATATTTATAAAGTTATGCTGCATTTGTGCCAGTCAGCAGTTATCATATGTAATGGCACCAGCCAACACTTGAACTGATTGGAGGGCACTGTATAGAACAGTCTTGACCATATTTAAATTTTTAAAAATCACATCAACTTCATAACTAGGTCGGGCAGGTGGTTGGTCTACAAGGAGGAAACATGTACAAAATGGGCTGGACAGTTCGATTCAATTAAGTACCAAGCCTTTCACCCCAACCACCCTAAAACACAATCATCAAGGTTATACATTCCATCAAACAAATACAAGTAATGGAAAGATGAAATAACTTACAGAGGACCACTCCCCCGCACGCCACTGCCCACAAGGACTGAAGCAAGTTGACACCTCAGGAGGGCGAGGCAAATGGGCACAATATGATTCATCAGCTACTCCTCCGTGAGTATCTCTGCAGCTGACGTAGCGAGCTTGTGTTCCTTCCCCACATGTCACAGAGCACTGCAACCACACATTGTGAACAATCACATCAAAAGAGAAGGAAATGCCAAACAATGGGGTCTGATACCCAGTGATTTCCATCAATGGAATTGAAAGTACACCACACCGACTAACAGTAACACCGCTCTGACTGGATCTGGAAAGAAGATTTGGAGAGGAATCTCTGCAAAATGGTGTGATGTACTTCAGATTTTAGGGAATGGGAACTCACTTGGATTGCATAATAAGGAATCCAGATTCCATTTCATAAAGTATACCATTCAGATAAAATATTTGCACCCGAATTTGGCGCAATATATTAAAATTGAATCAGGTTGTTATAAATGTTACAGTGTTCTACCCCCTATTAATATCTGGTGGAGGATCATAAATGTTAAAGCTGTTTTATTTTATTTCTGAGTTTCTTAGGCTTGTACCAATATGCAGTAAAATTAAGAAAATGATAAAATGTTACTGTTTTTCATAAAACAATCTTTTCAATTTACTCTTGTGATCAGGTGGTATTTTTTTAGATTGAAGACTGCCAGTTTCACATATGCCAAACTGTCATTTTGGGGCTTCTCTCAGAATCATACTGAAATTATCCAATATCACACCCAGTTTAAAAAATTGGAGCCCATTAATTTTGTACCAGTAATTTCTGTAACAAATGGAGGAAGAGGTAGTCAGTCAACGCTTCAGAACCACTACAAAGGACAACTTATGATGGGATAAACTATGGGATATACAAAGGACAACTTATGATGGGATAAATTATAGTAGTTCAGGACATATGTGCATACGATCAGTAGGAAGGTGGAAGGCGAACTAGACGGACCTTGGTCTTTTAGAAGACATATCACGTCTTCTAGACATCTCAAAGCGCTTCACAGAATATATTGTAGAGTGAATTGTTTTGTGGGCGAAATGCAGCAGCCAATTGCACACAACAAGGTCCCACAACCAGTTATGGATTAAGTGACCAACTTTATTTTATTTTTTTAAGGTGCAGATTGGCAAGACCAATGGCTTGGGAACTGTGTGCGTTGTTGCTCGAGTTTAACCAGCTAAAATTGCAAAGCTGGCCATTGGAAGCATTGTTTAGCAAGTTTCTCACCGTTTATACAACTAGGACCATCCTACCCATTCGGCTTGCAACTGCCTTCATCGCATTAAGCGTCCGTGCATTCAGGAAGGTAGAAGGAGAACAAAAGGCAAAGAAAATTTGAAGAGCAGTTGAGACTTTCTTTCTTGTGTGTTCATTTTGAGTTCAACCTGAAAGTCCGGTGACTTTGCAGTAAAAGGATGCAAAAGGTTACAGATGACAAAGTGGAGAACTACTCAAAACAACTGCAATATCACCTCAGAAACTGCTTTGTCACCAGCTCTCCTGCTCTCAAATACTAGCTCCACTCACTTTTACTGGCTTCTCTAAGAGCTCTGAGACACTATCCTGTGTGGAGGGCGCAATATAAGTGCAAATTGTTGTTGTTTTCTACTGAAGTCGCTTGCACAAATATTTAGGCATTTACAACACACAAAGGAGTAGACTCAGACATAAGCTAAGCATTATTGCAAGTACACATCTATTCTGCGCCAAATGTACACAAATCATTTGCTTTTAATTGAAGTGTACTGTTGAATTCGATTTTTTTGACCCGTATTTTCTGTCCCTTATCTTATGAAAATTGAGTCACTTACAGGTGTCCAGGATCCATATCGCCACTGGGTCATCATTCCTCTTCGAATGGCTGGAACTGCAGTCGTTAGCATGTGTGGTGTCTCTAAACAAGGAGGCAACTCACAGTTCTGCGTGTTAAAGACCAGATGAAAGAAAAATCAAAAATCGTCAAATGTGAAAACAAACACTGTAAACTATATTATTGCAAAGTGACTGTCAGTTTTCAGTTTCGTAGTCAAGAGATTTTGAAAAGAGAAATGCAACAATTTTTTTAAAATTTAATTTACCGGACAGAAGAAGCCCATCATGTCTGATCCAACCAATCGGTTACACTTTACAGATGTGTTACACAGCAAAAAATCAACATGGTTCTCACTCTTGATCACTATTGAGAGAACCCTATTTGAAGTTCATAATAATGATTATGATTCCTGCATTTTATATAGCGTCCTCAACATCAGTTTTGGGGAAGTTACTGGAACCTATCATCAAGGACAGAATGACTGAGCACTTGGACAAGTATGAGCTGATTAAAGAGAATCAGCATGGATTTGTGAAGGGTAGGTCCTGTCTTGACAAATCTAATTTTTTGAGAAGGTCACTAACATGGTGGATAAAAGAGTGCCCATGGACGTTGTCTATATGGATTTTCAGAAGGCATCTGATAAGGTCCTGTGCAAGAGATTATTTAGCAAAAATTAAAGGGCATGGATTTGGAGGTAACCTTGTGACTTGGCTTAGTTGGGAGGCAGGAGACAGAGAGTAGGGAAAAGGGGAGTGTTCTCTGATTGGCGGGGTGTAACAAGTGGTGTTAAATTACAGAAGATAACAGATTCCCAAGGATCTGTCCTGGGGCCTCAGCTTTTCACCATTTATATGTACATGTATATATATATATAAATGATTTGGATGAAGGAATAGAGAGTTGTATATACAAATTTGCAGATGACGTAAAGTTAGGAGGCACAATAAGTTGTGTAGATGGGAGCAGGAAGTTATTAAGGGACTTAAGACAGATTAAGTGAGAGGGCAAAACTGTGGCAGATGGAGTTCAATGTGAGGAAGTGTGAGGTCATCCACTATGGATTCGAAGAAAGCAAATTAGAATATTTTCTTAATAGTGAGAAACTAGGAACCATGGAGGAGCAAAGGCATTTGGGTGTCCTTGCACAAAAATCACTAAAAGTTAGTTCACAGATACAAAAAGTAATCAATAATATAATAATCCTTGCATTTGATATAGCGCTTTTTACGTCTTCTCGATGTCTCAAAACGCTACACAGAATAGACTGTAAAATTAATTAACCGTATATTTGTGGGCAAAACACGGCAGCCAATTGCGCACAGCAGTGTCCCACAAACAGTCATGGATTGAAAATGAACAATTTATTATTGTTTTGTTTTGGAAGGATTATTATTAGGCGTGTGGAGTAAGGTAACTTGCCCAAGGTTTTGCCCTGCCTGGAATCGAACCCAGGTGTCTCACTTGCAAGGCGAGTGCTCTAACCACTGAGCTACAGGACTCAAAAAGGCTAATGGTATTTCCTCTGATGGAGAATCCAGAACAAGGGGGCATAATCTTAAAATCTGAGCTGGGTAATTTAGGAGTGAAATCAAGGAGCACTTTTTCCACACTATGTGGAAATCTCGAACTCTCTCCCCTAAACACTGTCCAAAATGTTAGATCAATTGAAATTTTCAAGACTGAGGTGGATATATGGGGCAAAGGTAGGTATTTGGAGTTGAGGAACAGATCAGCCATGATCTAATAGAATGGTGGAACAGGCTTAATGGCCTGAATGGCTTACTCCTGTTCCTATGTTCCTTCAAGGCAGGAGGGCACTTAAAAGCGCCTCAGTACACATAAAGTGTCCTGACTGTATTTGTCAGCAAATGTCTAAGAAGTGGAATGCAACTGGTGGAGAAAATAAAATTAAGTTCTGGCCAATAAAGTGATATCATCAATAAGTAACACTGAACAAAATTTTAATGAGATACATCCTAATTTTGTAATTCCCCCTCCCGCAAAGGCTCCATTTATCCAATGAGAGACTGAGATGTACAGGCCAGGATTCCTCAGGTTGAAACCTGGTGTGTGCTGCATTAAGTGATTTTTGTCAGGGCAGAGGTTGGGTTTAAGTGACCGCAATGTTCTGGGGTAGGGAAGAGAAAAAAATTAGCCAAGTTTTACACTCCTGATTATTATCCAGCAACCTACTGCTGCAAGTGTATGTATGAACACTGGATAAAAACAGGAAGCTCAAAAAGAAAGCTCAAAAAGCCTGCTGACACTCACTGGCGAGACTCACACATGAAAATAAGATGACCAGAATAAAATACAAGAGGACACTTGCGAAACCATACCACAGCGGAAAGAAATTTAGTCAAAAACAAGGGCAAGAGGAGAAAACGGGCAAGCAAAACAAAACCTACTTTTACCTGGCTATCTCTTGGGTGGGTTGCAGCATTGCATTCTCTGTCATCGATAACTGTACCGTAAGGCCCTACAACACACCGCACTGCACGCATCTGATACCCTTGTCCACAAGTTGCAGCGCACTGCAGCAAAAATCATTAGGATAGAATATTAGAGTCTGTCATGTACACATGTTCAGGAATTAATATTTGTGAATAAAACAAAATTAATCAGTCCACCGCAACTCAAAAATATTCTTATATCGCTCACATTACACATAAAAGAAAAATCACACAAAGCAAAATGAATAATTATCATCACATTTTCTGAAGCATATTAACATGTCATCGAAACATCTCAAAATATTTCACAGAAATTTTACAGAATTTGTAATGTGTATTTGTAGGTGAATATTCACAAATGTTTTCTTTTCCCCTTAATGCAAACTTTGCAAGTCCTGTTTGTGTTGCTCAGGTAGACTCAACAAAGTTGCCACTGAGAAGGGTGTCACAGCACAAAAAGATAATGAAAAGTATGGTCAAAGAGGAAGGACTTGAGACGTATCTTGAAAGAGGTGAGGAAAAGGCGAGGCGAAAGGATCAAGGTCCAGAAAGTGAGGGCAGAAAGGCTGAAAGCCCATCCACTGATTGTGGGACGGTCAGAGCAGGGAATGTGAAGCAGACCAGTGCTGGCTGCGCAGAGTTGAGCAGGCAGGGGGGTTGATAGTTGGGTTTTAGAAGGTCGCAGAAGTAGGGTGGGACATGGCGGTGGAGGGATTTAAAAGATGAGGATCCTGAACTCAATCCACTGGGGGATAGGGAGCCAGTGGAGCCAGGTTAGGATGGGGTGATAGGCTCGTGGAACCTCGTGAGTGATTCTTCATATAACAGTGCTATCCCGGACACTGGGTGCCAAACCAGCAAAAAGTGTTCCATTTTCCATTTTGCAGCACTATCACCCATTATAGCTTAATAAATTCAAAATTAACCAAAAAACAAGTTAGTAAATAATTTCATTCACTCAATGAAATAGTCCCAATTGACTGCAAGATCAAAAAAAAATTAAAAGCTTAAACTAAAATTAATTAAAAGCGATGACAGCCTTCGAATTCCAAATACTGTACATAGAATCATTCAACCCGCACTACCAGACAGGTGTGCTCTTCACTCTTCAGTTGGCAATAAATACTGATTGGCTGAGATTCAGCCAAGCACTCACCGGTCCCCATGCTCCAACCTGCCACGATGCACACTCCTGAAGTTCACACCCCCCTGCAACCTCTGGCTTCGTACGTGGGTTGCAGAAATTGTCACTGAGATGCTCATCATTCAAGCGACATGATACCTGCCGATGCCGCGTCCCCTTCCCACATGTCACTAGGCACTGCAATTATATATCAAATTGCTTACTAGCCATTCAAATTCGAATCTACGATTACATATTTCTTTTACTTCTTTATAAATATTTATTCCAAAAGCCTGGCCTTCAAATCACCTTTTCTCTGTTTAATATCATTGTGGCATGAAGGTCTTAATTAAGGATCTGCTTGAGAGGAGTCAGGGCCTTAGTTATTTTAACCATCTTCCCTTCAGATATACTGTAATCCCATCTCTACAAAGTCAAGCAAAATAAACTGCTGTCAGACTTCTCTTTCAAATGCCAATCTTCAGCCAGTAGGTGTGACCCAGGTTAAGGACATATGCACACATCAGAATTCCTTCCCTTTCTGGTTAACTGCCAGGATTTTCCTTGATGAAATCTCCCAATCCATCCTTTGCTTGGACAGCTTGGTAAGAATCAAGTTAAAAAAAAGCTTGCCACAGAATGAATTCTGAGCTGAAACCAATCCTGCCACTGCGTCACTTTTTCATTAGAGCAGCATTGTAAGATATTGAACTTAATTAAGGATCTGCTTTTGAAAGAAAATGCACATGTCTGAATAGACAAGATATTATTTGACACTGCAGAATATATTCAAAGCAACGGGTTAAAATGAAGAATGCGACAAGCATAGCATTCCCTGTGTCTATGTTTCTTTACTTTTCTATTGTACGTTTGAAGACTCTTCAGCTTTTACTAACCTCACTCCATTCACTGGCTGTCCAGTCAGGGCAGGAAAATTCATTGCATCTCTGGGATATCACATTTTGTTGCTTATTGCACTCCCGGTCAACAAGGCGTCTACCAAGGTTGTTCATGCAGTATGCCTCCCGGGTTCGCACACCACGTTCACAGGTTTTAGAGCACTGAGGAAAGCAAAGAAGCCATTGAGAACATTTATCTTAAAGTACATGGGCATGAACAATCAAGAACTCATGTTACTTCTCTACACAAACTTTAAACAACGTTTGTAAATACAAAATTGCTGCTCATTTCATATTATTATTATAATATAGTATTTCCTCTTCTCTTTAAATATAATAAGCTCTGTGGAGTTCACCCAGTGGGCCTACAATCTTTTGAAGTTGATGATGACCCCCTTGCCACCCCCAATCCAAGCCCGGCTCGGATGCAAACCCTTGACTATCCAGTCACTTTGTCACCACCCGCTGGATTACTCCAATGCACTTCTTGCCGGTCTCCCCAGCTCCACCATTCACAAGATCCAGCTTGTTCAAAACTCTGCCTCCCGTACACTGACCTGGACCAAACTCCGTACCCACATCTCACCAGTTCTGTCCAGGTTCCACTGGCTGCCCATCACCACATAAATCGACTTCAAGATCCTCACTCTTGTGTTCAAATCCATTAACTCCCTGGCACCTCCCTACCTCTTCGACCTCCTCACTCCCCAGTCCACTACCTGGTGCCTCCACTCGACTGGCACCGGCCTCCTGCTCGGCCCTTGCACCCTCTGCCCCACCATCAGAGGTTGTGCTTTCAGCCACATCCCAAAACTCTGGAACAATCTGCCTCAATCCCTCCGCCTTGTCCCCTTTCTCCCCTCTTTCAATTCCTGCCTGAAAACTTTCCTGTTCGATCGTGCTTACGGCCACCTCCCCCACTCCCCGTGGCTCGGAGTCAGGCTCCGCCACTGTTAAGTGCTATGAGTCCCTACCCTGCGTGGAGGGCGCTATAGAATTGCAAGTTGTTGTTGTTGTATCCTCCCGACATACAAGGTGCAATATAAATGCAATTAGTTGCTGCTGTTGTTGATGTTAAATAAAAAGTATACATTATTCTCAAGGAGGGGGGGAAGACAGATAGAGTCCAGGTATGGCTGAAATACCTCCAAGGAAACATTAACAAAGCCAGGTAGGCCCTCATGACCCAAAACAAATGTGGAGGTGCAAACCAAGTCCCCAACACTGCAAGCCAAGTGGTACGGTGGTTTGAGCTCAACAAGTCTCATCCCTCACAGTTAATAATTATTCTTTATATCCACGCTATTTGCACTGCAATACTATCTTTGGTACAGCTCATGGGTAGTGTGGCTTCTTATCATCATAGCTTCCTTTTCAAGTCCAGATTTTTAAACTCTTTTCCAATTTTCAATGGAATTGTCCAGCCAATGATGTGGTTTTAACTGTTACCTGTGACCAGGAAGTATAGTGCCAGCTGGTTATGTGGCAGTCACCATGACAGGGCTCTCTGTTTGGAGGTTTTGGCTGAAAGCTACAATATCTGTCATCAACGGGCTCACTTGGTCCTTCATCCTGGTTATACTTCATGCAGTGAATGTCTTGCGTTCTGTACCCCGGTCCACACTGTGCCGTGCACTCACTTTTACCAAGGACCTGCCACCTGCAATCAAACCAAAACTGTTTACATTTTAAAGTTCTATTTTTGTGTTATTAAACAAAAACATTTTGAAAAAACTTGGAATTACATTGGAATTCCTGCTGGAAATGGACGGGTTTTAATTTTACTTCTGACACCATCCCTGTGGTCTCTGTGATTACCACTGCTACTCAAGTACAAAACTCAAAGTGATCAATCATTTGGGTGGGTGGGGGGGGGGCGCGGGGAAGGAGACAGAGTGAAGAAACATGATGCAGAGAGAGAGAGAGAGAGTGAGTGAGTGAGTGAGAGATGGAGTGTGATCATGCTAGATTACACTTTAAACCATTTCCCAAGGGTAAATTAAATGTTTCAACTGACTGCACCACAAGTACATTTCAAATAAAATGGTTTCTTCAATGATAAACTTCGTCAAACCTTGCTGAATTCAAATGTCAATCTGTTCAAGATTCAATAGGATTTTTTTTATCTGCATGAAATAGTTCACTTCTCAATGAGTGCACAATAATACGGGCAACAATTACCTCACCTCCCATCCATGCCTATATCTGTAAACTTAAATCAGAGTGGTATCACAGAGCCACGTCTCTGAATGCCACATACAATTAAATTTACACTGATATGGTGCTTTTCACGTCGGGAGGTCATCCCAAGAAACTTAACCATTTTGGCTGGCCTCCGGAGCTGAGGTGGGCGAGGAGGGGAAAGATGACTGAAAGTGCGGTCAAAAAAGTTTGTTTTGAGGCAAACCGTGAAAAGGAGGAAACAAATTGGAGGGACCTTGTAATGGAATTCCAGAAACCGGGCACCACGTCACAGTCGAACAGCAGTTGGGGACCAAAAAGGCTGGAGTGCACATTGGTGAAGCTTGATGTTACGGGCGCCTGAAGTGAAAGGGCACTGACGGGAGACAAGCATGAGAGCCTCAGTCTTGTCAAGATTCAACTGGAGAAAGGTTGAGCTTATCCAGGAGGCAGACATCAGCCAGACAATCGGTCAGAGCAGCAGTGGCTTGGAGTCAAGGGTGGAGGCAAAGAGATTGAGTTGCAAGTCATTTGAATGCACATGGAATTGAATCTCATGTAGGTGGATGATGTTGCTGAGTGGGAGCATATAGAAAGTGAAAGGATAGAGCCAAAGAAACCCTGCAAATGACGAGGTGGATGAGAACAGTAGCATTAGAAATAAAGTGGAGACACTGGGATAGGTACGCATGAAACATACCCCTAGCCTTAGAGATGCTCCAAAGTACAGAGCTTGTCCTGAAAATTTGAAGTGGTCTACATGATGTTTCGAAAATCATGTTCAATGAAAGATCAACAAACATGCAACTCACCTTAATTCACAGTCTGTGTTGCAAGACTCAGTGATTGGGATAGGTCGAGGCAAATGCTCACATCTCTGGTCAGAAACAACCAAGTGATCACTCTTTCGCATACAGACAATCTTTCGAGCTCGTTCACCTATATTCCACAGATTAAGAGAGGTGGTAAACCGGACGTGTTTAACATCTATTCAGCAAATGTATTCAGCCTACCCTCTTCAACCCTCTCACGAGTTCCTGATCATTCAATCATTCTGTTTTCCAGAAGACGCACTTTAATATTCTCATTGTAACTCTGATACGCCTCCATCCCCTTGCTACATTGTTCCTGTTTGTCCTGCAGTCCCCTCCCTTACCCACTCCCATGCTCTAAATTAAGCCAGCAACTCATCCCTGTCTGACTTCTCATTCCATGATGGGTGAGTTTTCAGCCACTTTGGCCCTGCTCTCTGGAACTCTCTCTTTAAATCCTTCCGCCTCACACTCTCCGTCTGCTTTCAAAACTCTTCCAAAAACTTGCTTGTTGGTGTCAGCCTATCTCCGCTTCCTAGCTCCTTCTGTTTTGGGAGGTTATGAGTTTAAGCCGCAAATTGGAACTCATTAAGGCTGACACACCAACGTGGTGCTGGAGGGAGGAGCATTGCGTTGGCATGGAGAACACTACATTTGTCGGGGTGCTGCGTTCGCGTTCGCCTTCAAAAATAGTCACGAGGCTTCACAGTAAATCCTTTGAAGCGCTTTGAGACATTCAACGACATAAGGAGCAATGTCAAATAAAATAATTATTATAATTATCATCGTCTTTTTCACTGTCCCTTTTAGTCACCTCTCTTCTACTTCTCATCGCAAATCTCTCACCCTGCATGGGGTCCCACTCTGCCTCTGTGAAATGCTGTGAGTGTTTTCCAATGTGACAGCTGTTATGTGAAAGCTGTTCCTTGATGATATTGCACCTTTTCATGACATTGTTGTCGACAAATTCGCTACCACGTTCTCCCACAAAACACGGAGTCGCTGCACATTACAGTCTATCCCGTGAAGTGCTTTGGGACATCCTCCCAACATGAAAGGTATGATACCAAATGTAAGGATTATTACTTTTATTATTATTAATTTTGATGTTAGATTTAATATTGGAACTTCAGTATAAAGCTACTTCTGACTTTTTGGTCATTTAATTATTGCAATTGCAGTTCGTTTTCTCTGAACAAGACATATCAGGACTGTATGAAGCAGTATCTTTTAAAATGGAAGTGATAGGGATAGCCCTGCAGCAGTCACTGCAAGATGTTTCTCCAACTGAGGGCAATTAGCCCACCACAGAGGATTATACTCAGAGAACTATTGGAATGCATGGAAAACTGTCTTCAGCTTTATGACCGAAATCAGATGTTGAATGTATATATATACCTGAGGCATAAAGGTTCTGGGTGGAGGAGGGTTGGGGTGAAAATGAACTTCAAAGTTATGGCTCATTTCCTGACATGGTTGATTCTCTTAAACCTTTTTTGTTTTTTTTGTAGGCATTTTCAGGGGAAAATCACCACCAAGAGAGTAAGAGAGTGAAACAGGCTCATTCTATCTGCAGAAAGCAATGCACCTCCAGTAGGATAAATGTTCCCACAGTGTTATAGATTTAAAAGAACATGGCAGAGGAACTGAAGATAGGTTTCAGGGGGAAAAGCTTTCTGCACATTTAACAGTCAAGCACACCTGAAAGAAACAATCAGCCACATTTTTCTAAAAAATAAACTTAGTGATGGTGGGGGGGGGGGGGGGGGGGGATGACAAAGGACCTGCCGACCTGTTCAGGTGGACCATAGCACTTTGAAAAGAGAAGGGAGATTAGCTGGGTGATCTGATCAATAATCCTCTTGATAAAATTGTTCATTCACTCAATGACTATTTGTGAGACACTGCTGTGCTCAAATTGGATGCTGTGTTTGCCTACAAAGCACACAGTCACTTTTCTTTGCAGTAAAGCCCATGAAAAGCTTTGAGATGTTTCACTGACATGATAGGGTGCTATATCAAATACAAGGATTATTATATCCATCATCAAACATGAAATGGCATGAATTGGAGTGAAATTAATAAAAAAGGTTTTAAAGAAAGGACTGAATGAAACCAAAACTTAAAGCTTCCAAGTCAGCTTCTCTTGAGTTGATAAAGTTAAGGAGGTTTGAGCACTGATTAGTAATATATAACTGTGGCTATTGATAGTAACTTTGAAACTGTATGAACAATTTCAGTTTGGACTCATACTTGGAAAGTATTTTGTTTCTAAAAATTATGCTATACATTTGAATTCTGCTAACACACGCCTTCAAACTTTTTTTTTAACAGTTTTGTTTTTGATTAATAAAGCAAAATATTAACAATAGAAAATAATCATTGGAATTTACCTTGACACAGTCTGTTACACTCTTGCCATGAAGCATAAGGATCCCAAACAAATTGCTCCATTTGGTCTTCTATGGGTATATTAAAGGAGTAACGCACGTCTGGATTGTACAAATTTCCTACAGATAAAACCTACCAGGATTAAGAAAAGAGTTCATTTATTTCAGATGTTTCTATTTTCTGTTTTCAACCCAAAGAATTACAGGAATTAACCCGACGCTAATAAACTGAAAACAATTGAAATAAAGAGTTAAAGGGCAATCCCATTAAAACACCCCACATCCTCCCTCCCTTGGCAAAGCATGCATTCACTTTAGAGCACAAGTCTGCTGTGGGCCTGAGCTATCCGAAAACGCACTGCATATTTGTTGACTTGCTGAGTTCAAGTACTAAAAAGCAGCTGACTTCCAAATTATTTGGTCATCAATGATGTCGCTTCTGACATTTTTCACACTGTATATTTGGTATACACAATGTATTAGGAAGCATAACTTTGCGAAGGAAATGTGCAGTGCGCAGGATGTGATCTTGCCGTTGCTCCCTGCAAATGCATTCGTTCAGCACAGGAAGGAACGGCAACAGTAACATAATAAAGCAGAGTCTGGGATAATGGACCCAGATGACTGTGTTACAGCAGGCTGTCCTTTACAATCAAATTCTTTAAGGAAATAATACATACCTGCAGAATCAGCTCTTCCTCAATTCGATCAGTGCAGTTAATGCGCTCCACAGCATTATCCGACCCACTGTATTCCAGTTTGGTTCCCTGTACGCTGATTTCTCGTTTAAACATGCTCACCACAAAGTTTCCATTCAGAATGAAACTGCCTTGACTGTCAGATAAGGCTAAAATGCAGACAATAAATATCCATAGTGAAAGAGATAAAATTTAATGAAATGAATCACGTATTGCATCAAGATGAAAGTACACTAGGTACCACAAAACAAAGCATAAAACAGTGATAAAGCACATACTGCAATGTAGAAAACCTTATGAAACTCACAGTTCCTGTTTACTGGGGTTGCCATTATGGAATAAGCTCTCGTATAGCATGCAATAGTGCTGCTATTTTGAAATATCTGAATCTAAGTCCTTGTAATTCTCAATACTGATCTAAAAGCATGGGGAATACTGTTTTAATATACTGAAGGGATTAAAAGATAATGCAAGGATTGAGTTCATAATTTTCCAAACATTTCCACCAGTAACTTTGTGTCAGCTGATGTTCTTCACTTTATTATGGGACTTTATTTCTGCACAAACTAAAACCATACAATTGGTGACTGGATTATATACCTGTTTTTAATACAAAACTCCTGGTTGATATTTGTCTAGATTCTAGTTTGCAAACATTTCCTTTTATCTATAAATGCGAATTGCAAAATTCTACCTGCGGGTTGCAATCACATCAATCATTCATTATTATCATTCAATAATTTATAAATAACAAACACCATTCTCACTTGTCACTTGCCAAACCCATTTGTCACTGCAGACGTTTATCCACAGCGGGAGAGAAGTCCACCTCAAGTGCAACTTGCTTACCTAACTTGAAAGGGGCTAGTGATGACTGATGGAAAAACAAACCAATAGGAAATATTATTTTTAAAACAAAAGTTGTTTTAATATTTAATGAAAATAACCGCATACATAAAGCATTCCCTGTGACAGGTGGAAAATAAACCTATTTAATCAGATGCTGCAGATTGCATTCTTCCTTCCCAACTTGGCATATGCCACTGAGTTATGACAGTGTGAGTGAGGCCTCTCTTTTAATCAATGGTCCTTTTCAACTAAAAAGAAAATAACTGCATACTTGAGAAGATTCGATCGTCTTACAAAAGTGATTTGCATTTCAAATTCTCCTAGAAAAATAAATTTTCTCACAAGAAAGCAGTAAAAGGAGGAAGCCAGATTTCCTCAGGATCATAAGCTTCAAATAATGTTTATGCTGGATGGGAATGTTTGTTATCGTATTGAATTTGGAGTGGACTATGAAGGCTTCCTCGATACTTAGGACACTGAATTAACAAGTTGTAATATGTCTCCTCTCAATGCTTACCAAGGTAGTTGTCATCATCTGGCTTCCCAGAATAGCTGTGCTGACGGATGTCAATATTGGTTGCTCCTGAAGGTATTCGTATCACCTCGTTATATCCTATAAAGTAAGTAAATATTCATTTACAAACAAACTGAAGAAGATAATCTGTTCATTAACATTCACAACCGCTTCACTTTCATATCTAACCTAATGTTTGGGCAAAATTACACTCTTAAAAAACAAACCAGCTTCTTTTCCAAAAAGCACATTGGGAGAAACGCCCTTCTCAAATACTGAGAAGTTTAACATCCACTTAAATAACAGACAAAGAGAACCTTTGTTTAACATCTCCTCCAAAGGAAGGGACCTCCAAAAATGCAGAACTCCTCTAACCTGCAATCCAGTGTCAGTCTAGTCTGTGAGTGCAAGTCCTAACATGGGGTTTGAACCACAATCTTCTAACCTAGAGGCAAGAGGGCTAAGCAGAGTACCAGGTATAACAACAAAGAATTGGACCACAAAAATATGTTCAGATAACATTCGGTAATGACGACCCCCCTGGAGCAAATCGGTACATTCATGCCTTCATCACAATGTAAATTGTGATAAATAGTAAATAATGAATTCAATTAAAAAATTCATTCTCCTGGTAGAAATTGGAAAATGGCAGCCTGTGTATAGTTTACAGTACACCCTCGTGGACTCCCATCAAGCTCACAACACAGTGGCTTTGTTGACCAAAAATCAAGATGATTTTTTTTAAAAAAAGCTATTGAATCAACTTTCTACCACTGGATCTCGCTGTAAAAAAAATGTTCAGATATATGCCAACATCAACAGGGTTTCAAACTTCCTCATATAACAGTGCTACTTCATGGTGACATTGAACACTTTCTGACCACTACCAAGGATCCTTCAGGACACACAATTCTGTATAAAGTTTTGGAATTGAACGCAAGCTGATTAAAATCGACCATTAATAAAATCTCGTTTCTGCCATCACGCTGCAAAACTACCTTCCTCATCTTCAAAGTCTCGACATTAATCCATTAACAGGAAACAATACCCCTGCACTACATCTAGATGGCTACTGAGAGCAGATGGTACTGCAATTAATTTTTAAAATGCTTTATTTTGGTCAGACTTACATGGGCAAATATAAGGAGAGATACTGTGAAATGAGAGATAGTAAAGGGGGGAGGTGCAAACATAAGACTGTCAGTAATTTGAGTCTTACTTAGAGTCTTGTGCCTTTCTTTGTGCCAAAGATTCAGGCACAAACCCAAACCACTGAAATTAAGTCCACGTTAGTTCACGAGTACCTACAATCCAAGATTTGTTACAATTTTGAAACTGATACAACTACCTGAAAACCCATCAAAAATTTAAAGCAAAAAAGGGGTTTCTCCAAATATCTCAAGCATCTTGGCACTTAGGGTGCAACAAGGAAACTCATATCTCTAGGTTCACTGTCAAATACAGGAGCAGTTCTGCTATGTTTTCTTCCTGAAGAGCACTCAGGTTGCTCACAGTAACCAAGGCTCATCTCTTGTGGACTCCCTGAAGCACTGAGTTAGGAAGCAGTCATGCACTGCATTGATAAGCTGCTCGGAGTCCTCTCCATTTAGGAAATTCCAGCTAATGTTAGGAAGGGGAAGTTCTACTAAAAATCTCCTAACAACAACCTTTAAATGTCTGCACAGAACACACGGAACCTCTTTAGTAAATCATTCTTCAGACTCAGACATTCAGCCATTGTGCCTGATAATGCTACACAATTTGTGGTTTTATAAATGAGATCATTAGTGTACTTCACCATCGTGAAATAATTATCATTGAAGCTGCCACCTCATCAGCTGCGATTATTTTGTAAACGTGAAAAGAAACTGTGTTTTCATATCTGGAAATCTTTATTCAATTCGTTGAGCGAAACTTAGGTAAAATTGTCAAAAGGCCTTCACTCTTTTTTAAAAAAACAATCTGAACAACGCCAAAATCAGATTTTGAGGTGAAATCAGATTGCAATAATATTGCCCACCACTTGAGGGCACCAGTTTGTTTGACCCTGATCTTAGGGGACAGTCACAAACATACTTTCAGTGCAACACTAAAAAGTTTTTTTCAAAAAACTGTGAATTATACTCTGTAAAAGTTAAAAAAAATGAATTTAACTGTGAAGTAATTTCCATAACATTGAAACATTGGTTAATTGGCTCTGAGATGCTTACTGTTAATCAGAGATAATGTACATAAATGCAATCACACTGCACCTACAGACTGATAGTTGGGAGTCATGAGACTGTTAATGTCACGCTCCATGGCTGATGGACAGTCTACTGGACAGAGCTAATTGTAAGGAATGCATAGTAGCATTATTATTGTTCCAGTCATGGAGTACATCACATCGACCAACTACCTAAACTACCCATAAGAAGATAGCAGTGAAACATTAAATTACTGCAACTTGAAAACAGACTATTTAAATAATAATTTGTTCATGGACTCCATCATATCATCAATATATTTTAACACTATTACAAGCTGCCTGTTATAAGATTAATATGTCCACCAAATCCTCAAAATGTTAATTTTCTTCTTTTACAGCTAAAAAGCAAACAAGAAATCACTTGCTGCATTCTTTTGCCAGGCCTACCATTCAAAAGAACCAGTTTCCATGGGAATTGTCATTAAAACAATCTTTGGGACAGGGTCAACACGTAACCCTTTAAATTTCATGATGAAAGATTTGTTCCTCGGCCAGCTGCAACAGTCAAGAAGGAAAATGAACCCGAGCACTCACAAAATTGCACCCAACAAGCACAAATCTCTGGGTTTATTCACACGGCTAGGAGCGAAGCAAATCATTTCCAGCAGTGAAGTGATGCAGAATGGAAAGCTGGATTTGTACAGAGCTTTGTGCATTTTCAAGTCTCAGATATCAAGTGTTAGATTTTTAATGTTAATCAAAAAATATAGGAACATACATTCTAGAAGATTATTGCAATGTTAAAGTAAAAAGGTTGTAACTGGCAGTTCAATAAAATTAAAAACACTGAACAGCACATAACCTGCTCATCTGTGAGAGGTTGAAAGGATGGCTGATGTCAGAAAATAACAATTCACACGGATACACTAGGAGATGCTCTGGAGATGTTGAGGTTGGTGTGTACTGGGTGGAATTTGGATTTCGGCATTTAAACAGCCATCAGAAACCCTCAGCTTTGAAACTGCAGTTTAGTGGAGCCACCTGAACCCCACAATCAGGTTGCTTCTTTGACTAATGGATGTTCCTGAACAATATGACAAGGCCTTAAGAACATATTTGGGTTGACATCACATCATAAAACACAGGTCAGCACTGAAGTTGTTTATGGTATCATCTGAAACACTATTAAATTTCAGGCTTGAAATCACTCACTCCCTCCTGTCCTTTTAACACAATGTGTGCAATCTTCCATTTAAGTGAGTAAAGGCTGCAGCATCATTTTACTACCCACCAGGAACACAAAATCCCTCCAGCTACTAGCTAAGTAGACAAATTTGATGAAATGGGCTATTTATTATAAGTGCACATTCTCAAAGCCACAACATTTCATGATAAAAGCAATTTCTTCTTGTAGAGGTTTTCTCAAAGTCATGAATAAAATCTCAGTGTTCAATAGTTTGTGGTAATGTTTGAACTCTGATTTTAGATCATGCAGTAGAACACCATTTATCCACAGAGCATTTATCCCAGGACTTTTGTCCTCATAAGCCTTCGAAGCAGACAACAGCCCAAGGCCTCGGAGATAATAATAATATAATAATCCTTGCATTTGATATAGCATTTTATCATGTCTTCGAGACATCTCAAAGCGCTTCACAGAATATACTGTAAAGTGAAATGACTGTATATTTTTTGTGGGCGAAACCCCTGGCTATTATTGGCCAGATATATATTGGCCTGGCTATGCAATACTTCATACACAACTTCACATGTAAGCGTTGTTATTTTTTGCTGGGTAGTGATGTTAAATCTTCATAGACTCAAAGTGACAAATTCTGGGGGGCGGGAGGTGGGATGGGGGATGGGGGTTAGTAAGAGAGAGAGACGGAGAGAAATAGAGAGTCAGAAAGAAAGAAGGCTTGGGTGGTCTATAGTGACAGTATAATTCCTAATGGAGCAATCTTTTAGTTGGCACTGCATCCAAACTATATTTTGCAACATCTAAGTAACACTGATTGCTTATCCACAAAGGGGCCAGTGCGAATAATCAGCTCTTATAATCCTTCCCAGGATCCATGTATAATTTGATCATTTTATTGCATTTGAAAGATATTTCTGAGATTCTGAGATCCTGAAAAAGCTAATGCTTTGAACTCAGAACCAAGGCAATCTAAAAACTTAACTAAAAAACACAAATTGATTTAAAATGGATTTTTGTTTTGCTTTTATACAATTGCTATTGGTCCGATAACATAAAGATATTATAAAAATGTTTTAGAAAGTTACTACAAATTTGCACAGAGCAATATCCTTCAAACAACCGTAAAGGGAAAAGTCTCTTTTTTTTTAATCAGGTAGATCGATAGTCGGAATCCTGGTGGATGCATTTTGGTATCTTTAACATCCACCTTAACAAGCAGACGGACCATGGATTAATGTCATCGCAGAAGACAGTATCAAAGTACTTAAGCATCTTCACCAACTTTCCAAATCACAATATCTTCCAGTCAACATTACTCACCATATTGTACATTATTAAAAGTACCAGCCAGGGTCCGGCACGAGGAATTATCTCCACCACATACCCCACACTTATCCCGCCTGGCTTTGGAATTCAATACATGATCGCATCCTGCTTGCTAGAAAAGAAGCATGGAAATTATGGATGGGCATCAGATAGCTGCCATTTCTCAAGTTATAACTTATACATGGAGGCACTTTCTTCATATGCTCAACATAAAATTATTTATAGGAAGGAGGAGTTGACATTAATTTCTAAACGCTTTATGTAGAATTACAGGAAATAATAGAAATAATAGAAGGCTCATCTTCAGCAGGTAAAATACTATGGCGATTATGCATTACTTTGTGACAAATGACACAACTCATGAAATATGGAGAAAATGAAGAGAAGAAATATTTTTAATCAAAATTACTCTGGACTTTGAAGACTGTTTGCAATTGTTGTCAGTATAAATTTCTTGAGATTGGACTTCACCCACAAGCATCTCAATACACTTCTCTGATGTGAGAAATGGATTTATAGGAATTCTGTACAATATAAAATCTGGTCAAAAATCATACCCTATGCAAGTTGTGTTTTTACAGCCCTGCCCCAAAATTAGAGATATTTTTACAGCAGAAGGACGTGCTAGGCATTTAGTAAGATCCAAACCTGGATGCACCTTGTCTAGTCCATGCAAGTGGACCAGACAAGGTGTCAATTGAAGACGTTTTCAATCCAAGGTGCCAATCTAGAGCTATGATTCATTTCCTAAACTGGCAATGAGAGAGATATGCTGCCAAACAAAACCTCTCTGCTCAGTAGGAAGTCACAATTCCTTAGGTTGACATCCAGAGGTGAAACCTGTGCCAAGCATCAAATTTCTTGGCAGTCAAGGTGGCTGAAGATACCTGTGGGTGTCATCTGTGGATTACATTCAATCTGCAAAATAACCATGGCTGCCTTGTTGAGTGAAAACGTAATTTAAAAAAAAAACAAAATTACATTGGTATAGTGCCTTTCACTTCGGTAGGACGTCCCAAGGCACTGGATAATCAGGGATTTGGACCTGAGCTGGGGGTTGGGATTGGGTGGAGGGAAGAGAGGGTAGCCAAACGTGCTGTTGAAGAGGAGGGTTTTGAGATGCACCTTGAAGGAGGCAAGAGAGGAAGCGAGCTGAAGTCCTTAGGGTGGGAGCAGAAAGGGCGAAGGTCCGACTGCCCATAGTGGGACGGGATGGGCGGGGGACTTGGAGCAGCCTGCTGAGCGGAGGGAATGGACAGGTTGATATGGAGTCAGCAGGTCCCAGAGGTAGGCAGTGGCAAGACCATGGCAGTCTTGAAAGCAAGGACGAGCATTTTGAACTCTATCCTCTGGGGGATGGGGAGCCAGTGGAGCCGGGTGAAGGTGTGGTGATGGGGTCACGGAGCCTGGTGCGAGAGAGGACATTAGCTGCAGAGTTCTGGATGATCTGCAGTGTGTGGAGGGAAGAGTTGGGATGCCCAATAAGCAGGGAGTTGAGCCTAGATGTGATGAATGCATGGATGAGGGTTTTGGTGGCCTGAGGGGTGAGGTAGTGGTGGAGCTGGGCGATCTTGCGGAGGTGGGGGAAGGCAGTGTAGGGCATGGCATGGATGAGTTGTGTTTCAAAAAGCTTAAGCTGCAGGGATTTGGTTGATCTGCAGCAGGTGTAGGGAGCGGCTGGTGAGTTCAGCAAGGAGGGTGTTGGCTGAAGGTGATCAAGGCATTGTTGGAGGTCTGTGCCTTGGGGGTTTCAGCAGCTGGTGGGTGGGAGGGAAGGGAGAGGTTGAAAAGTGGGCAATGTGGCAGAGGTGAGGGACAGTGTGCATGAGTGAGTGAGTGAGTGAGTGAGTGAGTGATAGCCTGGATGCAGGGTTTGAAGGATAGTTGGGGTCAAACAACCTGCAACAGGGGGCATCATAACCAAGCCTGATCCTGTCCCAATGTTCACAAAAGATACTTTTACAGGAGAAATCACTGATTCAATTTCAAAAGCGAGAATCCTTGCTGATATTTCTTCTTTCAACACTGGAGACATTGAGTCAAACTATTGTGTTTCAACCACTGTCCAGCTGAGATGAGCTAATAGCACAGATTGACTGGATATAGAATACCAAATCTTCAATATAAGTAAAGCTGAGTTTCACTCCAGAGTCACATTACCAACTGAGCCACAGGGAGCAAGCAAATGAGAGAGTTGAAGCATTTCTTTTTAAACATTAAAAAATTCAACTCAGCAACAAAAAGACTCAAAAAAAGCATTTTGTGGGCACTTTGTGGAGTCCTGTAGCTCAGTGGTTAGAGCACTAGCTTTGCAAGCGAGAGACCTGAGTTCAATTCCAGGCAGGGCGAAACCTTGGGCAAGTTTCCTTACTCCACACGCCTAATAATAATCCCTCCAAAACCAAAAAACAATAATAAATTGGTCATTTTCAATCTACGACTGTTTGTGGGACATTGCTGTGCGCAATTGGCTGCCGCGTTCGCCCACAAATATACAGTCAATTCACTTTACAGTGTGTTCTGTGAAGCGCTTTGGGACATCCTCCCGACGTGAAAAGCCCTGTATCAAATGCAAGGATTATTATTATTACTATTACACAGGTTTTATCATTAATTACACAAATGCTCCAAATATTTATATTAATATGCACCAGCTTCATTTATGACTTACCCGACACAAGCCTTGTACACAGATGTCATTTGTATCAGGTCCACAAGGAGTGCCGTCAGCAACTCTGTCTTTAAGCTGATAATAGGCAGTAGTTCCAGCCACTCGGCAGAAGAGTTTGCAACGATCCTTCATAAGAACTGCAATCACAAACCACACACGTTTTCTTAGTAGTGACCTCAAATATCACAGACCTTGAGCCCTCACACCCCGTCATAAATACCATGAAACCTTGCTATGATAGAGTACTTGGAAATACATAAAACCCCAAAGCATGTTATCGTGAGGTCCAATTAATGACCTTCAATCATATAACTGGTGACCGCACATGCACACAGTAAGATGGCTTGCTCCCTTTGTGCACAGGCTAAGACAGGATTTGAAGTGTGCTTCAAAATGCATCCTCACTTTCAGTGCAGAGCACGGTCACATTTCAAAAGGCATCAGCGCACTTTCAGCATGACGCACATTTGATGATGCACTTTGAAAGCATGCATTTTGCAGTGCAACCAAAGCGCATTCAACCAGCATTATAGCTTGCAAGACCATTTGACAGCACAATGTCAGGATTTTCAACTTTCAGGTAGGAAAATTCCCATGTCTATATATCAAACACATTATATTCAAGCCTACACTGTAGTGATGTGCATTTTGTGGCAGGGTTGAATTGCACTGTACTTTGGAATACTCACTGCCACTGTATTTTGGAAGCCAGCGTACGTTAGGTGGCAAACCATTGATGTTGAAATGCTTCCCATCAAACTTGGAGCACTGCTCTTCCCTAAAATCTTTCCTGCCCTTTGGGCACGGATCAGTGTTGCAAGATCGGAATTTCATTCTGCGACCCACACAATACTTTCCTCCATTTCTGGGTCTATAGAGGCGGGCAGGTAGGGGGAAGAAAAATTGCAATTACGGTTGTGTGGACACTTGAAGAGCTGCCACAAGTTAAGTCAGCAAATAGAGCAGTAATACCAATGATTCTATCTCATATCCATCAGTATGATAGCAATGTAACCATACATGCACTGTAACCAAAATAAAAACAGAAGTCACTGGGAACACTCAGTAGGTCAGGCAGCACCTATGGAGAGAGGAAAGTGAGTTAACATTTCAGGTCGATGACCTTCTGTTCTGACAAAAGATAATCGACCTAAAATGTTACTCACTTGCCTCTCTCCATAGATGCTGCCTGACCTACTGAGTGTTCCCAATGACTTCTGTTTTTATTTCAGATTTCCAGCATCTGTAGTATTTTACCTTTTGTTTTATGCACTGTAACCAGCTGTTACGGAGGAAGCTCTTGGTACCTGCCATCCAACGGGTGAGAGCTCAAACCTGTGCGTGTTGGATGTCAAATGACTAACTTGTGACTTTCCGCCTTGAAAAGGAAGTAAGCAGGGTCTCCTAGGAACTGAATTGGCTCCAAGGTGACATGCTTGACAACGGAATATCAGAATTGAACCAGTTCTCTATGATGGTCTGAATGAGGGGCTCCTGAGCTAGAAGGATACACAGTACTCCAGGGTACTGCTGATGACAAACCAACCAGCCTGGCTCATCAGTTGGACTTTGAGGAGCTGCGCAGTCACTGTGGGCAGGGATTCTTCCCACTCAACTTCTGTTAACCCAGGAACCCAAAGCCCTAAACAGTTTGCGTGATCCAAGCTGGACAAGCAGTGGAAGTGCTTTTAACAGCAAGCTTTGCGGTTTTGGCTAGTTAAACTCCAGCAGTACCCAATGCATCTTCTGGGGACCCTAAGCCTTGCCTTTTGCCAACCTTGGCCTAACACTACCTAGATTTAGGCAAGCAGGGTGCATTCCCTAGCTGAAGTGCATTCCATTTCAGACCCTACAATTTCCATGTGTAGATAGCTTACATGCAACTCTAAATCTGCTTTTAATACTCTTAAGCATGGTGCTGAGTTTCCACATGTGTCAGACACTTGGCTGACCCTTCTCCCCACACCCCCTCCCACCATCACTCCCGAAAACTTGTAAAGATTAAGTAATTTCAAGCAACCACTTTTGCTCAGAAAAACTCACTCTGGTTTGTTACACTCTCTTGCTGCGCTTCTGATCCCTCCACCGCATGTCCTTGTACATGTTCCATATGGTTCCCAGGGGCCCCATTCTCCATTCAGTGGTCTTGTCTGTATCTCTTTGTTCACACAATGTCCATGGCGGCAATGCTGAATCCCAAAGACATGAAGCAAAAAGTTTGATTTTGAGCACTAAGTTATGGTGAATACTCTACGATAATACTTTGATACCCTTGCAGAAGACCTGTTTAAAAATAAGCCTTTATTTTAAAAAAATCAATATGAGCACAACAATTGGACTCAGTTGTAGGTTAGGGGTGGAGGGGAAGGTTAGGAAGAAATCAAATTGGATTCTGATCTGGTTTCTGCCTGTGAAAGCTTGGTAAGATCTGTACAATCCAGAGATGGAGAAATTACAAGCTAGGAATCTTCAGCCTTGAAAAGCGATGTCTCAGAGACTACTGTATCTCAAACAATACTTTCAGATGTACTACAGCAGCAGAACAAGATGGTCTAGGTTCAGGGTAACAAAGGGCAGTTTGGCAGACACCAGAAAATATTTGTTTACTAAGAGGAATAACATGAAAAGTGTTGGGAGGATACTCAATGTTCCTCTCATTGAGGAAACAATTTGATGCTGTGATTGGATGGTGGGTAATCTGAAAGGAGGGGATTAAATGGTCTGAAGGACTGCTTCATTCAGACCTCTCTTATAATACCAGGAAACAAAATGGAAGGATTAATAAGCCAGCTCTGAAGCATCATGCAAGATTAATGACATCAGAGTCGTTGCCATCTGAACTGATTGTGGTTGACCACTGATCACTGCATTCATAACAATCCTGTTTAAAACTGTTTTCCTGATTCACCAATAGATTGCATCGAAATTATCTGCCTTGGGGATCACAAGGTACAGGGAAATAGAGATAATGATCTGTTGTGATTTTATGGCACTCATTTTCTGGCTATCTGCAATGATGCATGAATTGTGGCCCAGTGTTACCAGAAAATAAATTTTGCTTATTTTACTTTCATACAGCATTGAAGCGGAAAATCCTCATTCAGCTTGGAATAAATATGACCTGGCCCATTCAACAACTCAGTTGTGTTTCATTCCATTTGCAGTGTCGTGTTGTTCCTTTGTTTCCACTCTTCCTCCCCCCCACCCCCCTCCATATATTCTCCTACAGGATATTAATCTGCACATGGAAGCTTTCAGATGGAAGAGTGGGAGGGACCAGGGCTACAACTGTTGTCTGCCTGCTGTGCAATCGGCCAAGAGGAGAATGCTATACACCAGAACAAAGATTTCCTATGCTCCAAGGTGGGAGTCTGGCACAGCATGGCAAGGAGTTTATTTCCCATCTGCAATTGTTGAGTGTCCCTGCTATGCAGAGCAAGATGGAACGGCATAGTAAAAGCATCAAAACCCAAACATAAAACTAGCTAATATATGGCAGAACGCCTTCCTAACAATCGCCAGGCCCATTTTAAACAATTATTGAAGCAGAAATATTTACCCTGGTCACCAGAAATATAAAATATTTTCCACAATGTCTTTTGAATGAGCTGAAATGGAGCATGAAAAAGTTAATAGTAATTCTTATATTTGAATTTGCATCTTTCACATCGGGAGGATATCACAAAGCACTTCACTAGTATCCTGTAAAGATAATGACAGTAGGTATTTTGTAGGTGAAGTGCTCCGAGACCCTGCTACCCTGCTTGAAGGGTGCTAAATAAATGCAAGTTGTTATTGATGAAAGCGGCAGCCAATTTGAACACAGACACAAACAGCCAAGTAGGGACTGACCAATTTTACCCAGAGGATTGTTATCCAGGGCACCAGCAGAAACTCTCTTCTCCTTTCAAATAATATCACATAACCTTCAACGTCCCCAAACAGGCAGACAGGCCTCTGTTTAATATCTAATCTATGGGGCGGCACCTCCAACAATGCAGTTTTCCCCCACACTGAAGTAACTGTTAATCTCAGTGGATTGCGAGTTCGGTGACAACATAGGACTTGAACCCACATACTTCTAACCCAGAGAAGAGTGCTACCAACTGCAGCAGGGTGACACCTGATTTTTGATCTACCCGTGTGAGCACGGACAATGCATCTAGGAGAAAGAGCAGAACTGTCATCAAAATCATCACAGTTAATAATGAAGCAGTTCAATGCACTATAGATGCAGTTATCCTCTTACTCTCAATCTATCAGCATTTAATGTAGGAGATTCTCCTTTGGCATCTGTCTAAACAGTCTGAGTAAACAAATTTGACTGATAGTGGAGATAGGCTATCTCCAAAGTTAAATTGGCACACCACACATATATAAACAAACTGATATTGGTTCCTTATTTGCATTCCCTTTGATCAGGCTCAACGTTACAATTCTATTCCAGCTGCCTAAGAGACTTGTACTTTCAAAGACCTAATGCATCCTGGCGTTGAGGCAACTTTTTTCTTTGTTACTGTTTCAACAAACTAAGTTTGGCCACACTGGACCCAGATTTCATTGCAACATACTCATCATAATAGGGAAAACAAAATCATTTGAAGCATTTCTTTCACCCCACCCCACAGATGTCATTAATTAAACTTGAGTAACAGGGCAAATTGTAAGAAAAGGATCAGTCAGATATTCTGTTTGCAATAATTTGATAAGTAGGACTGAGGAAATCCTATTCAGTAACAACATAAAACCAACCCATAAACAGTAAGTGACTACCTACACCACCCAGATATGAGAGGTCTTTCTTTAACTATAATTCAAAATACCTCAAAAGTCACTTTTTGATAAAGGAAAGCACGTTTGTTTAAAATAACCAACTAAACTGATTCATCAATCATGCATTCTCATGTTTTTTTCACCTTTTATTATTTCTAATTGTTGTTCTTGCAGATAGCTTTCGTGCAAGATAAAAAAAACTGAAGAATTCAGAATAAAGTACGACAGGAAAAAATATTTTTTCAGTGTTTAATACTATTCTTAAAACTTTATACTAAAATCAAAACGGGTTCTTCAGAGGCTCAATTCACTTCGCTCATAGTTTTCAGTCTGCAGTAACGTCTTTGCACAGTGTTCACAAATAATACAGGATTAGAACTTTTCACTTTTGTTTGAATGAACCATTCATTGCATTGCTAGTAATGATTGTATAGATTTATCTTTGTTTTTAAATCATATCCACTGCATTAACAGCAGGACTGAAAGAAGGCTTCAATTGTGTTTTTATAGCAGTTCTCAAGCAAACGACAAAAGCATGGTTTCACTCATCCCTCTAACCTTTCATTGTCAAAGACAGAGAAGCATGGGTAAAGATCACATGCAGTTAAAGCTTCCACTGGGTGCCCTTACAAAGGTTTGTGACCTCAAACACAGAGCCGCACAAGTTGAGGTTAGTCACAGTCAATGCTTCCTCGAGCCTGTCCCAACCAGGCGTTGATGACCCTAAACACAGAAGACCCTAAATGTTACTTTCTGCACCAGTGTTGTATTTTCGTTTTGCATCACAACCACCCTTAACAATATTTATGAAGATAGTTGTAGGGGTTAAGAAACGTTCTCCTGTTTTATAAGTTTCAGCACATTACTTCCTCATGTGCAATTGAACTATGAATTAAGAAACATTAGTCTGCAAGGCAGCAAGCCAATAGTCCTCCAACGTGGAAACAAATTAAAATGCCTACATCTCAAAAAGGGAGTAAAACTCTTCAACTATTTCTACAAGTCATACACTGAAGGCAAAAATAAATCTTGCCAGCTGCTACTAAAGGTTGCTGCCCACCCATCATCAATTGGACTTTGTCATGAAAGCAACAAAAGTTTCCACCCACTGCCATCAAATTATGCATCTTCCCGTGCTGAACAGTGTTCACAGAAGATGAAATGACCTAGGAACAGCCTGTCTTATAAGCTTTCAGTCTTGCTTGTGTGCTTGGGAGGAAGGTGGGATGATATTACAAAAATCTGAGGCCTTTTACAAATCATTCAACATCATTCTTTGTTGGATTCAAAATCAGGTGCCTGACTTGATTCTGACTCTAGATTGTCCGATTACACTTGGAAGGAACCAATTAAAAGAAAAATACAATGTTGACACAAGCAGAGCCTTAGGATTAATTTCAAATGACCTGACAGCTAATCCACATGAGAATTCTTTGACCTCTGTAGTAAAATAGCAATGAAAGAGTTTTACAAACCAAGGAAATCTTTTCACAGGGTTGGGTTGCACTATATAAATAAAAACACCCCAGTACAGATGAAGCTATTGTCTTTGTATTAAACAGACTTCTGATTCTAATTTCAATCATTTAGAAGCAGAGTATGACCATCAAGAAATGGAGCAGGTTAAGTTAGAAAGTTTAGTCAATACCAGGGAGAGGAAGCAGTCTCGTTAGACAATTGCAACCAAATCAAAGTATGTCAGAGGCTACCTTTTCTTCCGTGTTGAGAACTGGGAAATAGTAATTTGTTGAGGGCCTCACATTTAGTTTTCAACTCAACCAGCCACTCCACAAAACAACAGAACATTTTTAGACTATGCAGCTGTTCAAGGCATTGAAGGCGTTCAAACATTCACAAAGATTGGTTTGGATAACAGAGGCCCTTCTCATCCTTCCAGATGATTTTAGCTCTTCCTACCAAAGCTTCCCCGCAGCCCCCACCACTGTTTTCCCATCAGACAATCAAGCTGATATTTTAATGAGTCTACTGTTATTAATAATCCTTGCATATAGTGCCTTATTATATTGTTGAGACCTCTTACAGCGCTTCACAGAATATATTGTAAACACTGTATTTTATGGCAGCCAATTGCTCACAGCAGTGTCCCACAAACAGTTGTGGATTGAGTGACGAAATTGCTTTTTTTTGATTTGGCTTAACCACGTTACCAACCTGCCTCAGTTGTTAATTATCCTCAGAGTAAAGAAAAAGTCCTGTGGGCTGCCCGGAAATTGCCCATTGCAACTCTAAACCTGTGTCGTCTTATTCTTCTGTGTTGTTCTATCCTAAAGTAAAATTTAAAAATTTGACGAACTTTCATTGGGGCTTTCAAGACTTAAGAGCCCTAGCTTGTCAAATTATTGCTCATAGCTCATTGATCTAACATTGGGGATCATTCTTGTTGTTGTCCTCTGCA